AAAGATCATTTCAGACAAAGTCACCTTCTTTGGTGGAAGGCAGGGGTCTGTCAGGTAGATGGCCTCACTGGTGCTGCCCAGGAAGTCCCAGAGCGAACGGTTAAAGGCCACGTTCCCGGGTGAGGCTGAAACTGCAATTAGGTCTTGGTTTGCTGACCTGGAGCTTAGCACAAGTGACTCCATTTTGGGCCTTTTTTTTTTTTTAACAGAGTGAATAAATGAATAGATGAGTTCCTTTAAAGTACCTCTTGTGTTAGCACAAAGGAGAAAGACCTATGGGTCCTCACAGCTATGGCTGTCAAGGGCTTAGGACATTGAAGAAGGAGCCTGGCACAGAGAGGCCAAGCCACTTGCCCAGGGTCACACAGCCAAGAATTGGCAGGACCAGGATTTGAACCTGGGTCTCCCTTCCTTGAGCCTGGGCTTTTCCCACGATGCACAGGTATTGCAAGCCCATTGTATGCCCACATCGCACGTGTATTATTCCCACCTGGAGCGTGGCAGAAGATGCCACTCCAGAATGTGCCTCTTTGGCACAAGGATTGTTTTGAGCTGATTATTTTGAGAAACTGCAGACATGGGAAAAGCTCTGAAAATGGAGTGGAAGTTAAACGGAGTAGAAGTTACCCTTTTGTAGGGGAAATTTACATTTGTGAGGAAAACCCCCGTTTGTAGGGCTGTCTGCCTCCCCGCACCGGAAGAGAAGGACAGCTGTAAACCACAAGAGGATCTTCGGAGGGGGAAGCACAGACTCAAATCTACATGCCTCCTTGTTTGCAGAGCTTTTCCTGGTCACCTGCCGTAACCGGCCTCACGCCCCCCGCCATCTTTCTGTGGCTTGGGCCATCTGGAGCGTCGCTAAGCTGCTCTGGGTATCTCCCAGGGTTACAGTGGTGCGTCACCGGGTGGCAGGAACTCGTTCCAAGAGATGCGTTGTTATGCGACCATCATAGTGTGTACTTACCCAAGCCTGGATGGCGTAGCCTCCTGCCCTCCTACACACCCAGGCTCTGTGGCACTGATCTTGTGGGACCACTGTTGTCTACGTGGTCAATCTTGGACCGAAACGTCCTTATGTGGCACGTGGCTGTGCTTGAGGTCTACGTGTTAAACTTCTGTTTGCTTTTCTGTTGTTAATCTGTCTTTTATTACGGGGGTCTCAGCCAAGAACTCAGAAGGGTAGGGGGAAGATTATAGTTCCTCCTCTCCTTATCTCGTGCTCGCCCCTCAGGACGGCCGATCCCCTCGGCTCGAGGCTCTGAGGGAGATGGGGAGGGCTGGGGGCTGGCTGCCTGGGACTCGAACCCCAGCCTCCCTGGCTTCTGGCCGTGCGGCCTTGGCGAGCCCACCTCTCCGGCCTCAGTTTGTCATCTGTGAAATGGGGATCACGGGTCCATCTCAGCAGGTTTTATAAAGATTGTATCTTAAGTGTCTGACACATAGTAGGTCCTCAGATTTTTCCTCTTGGCATGTCTTTCTTTGCTCCACACTCTGCTATAGAAGTAGGTGTCCCACTCCCACCCCGCCATTCTCTGCTGGGAATGTCTCTCAAGGGTTCCATGGCCTTTCTCTGGACCACAAATTCCTGTGACAATCTGACGTCCCAACCCTCAGTCCCTGTGAATGTGACATTATTTGGAAACATATATTTATTTGCAGATATAAGTAAGGATCCCAGAGTGAAATCATTCTGGATTTAGATTTAGGTGGGCCCCAAATCTAATGACAGGTGTCCTCAGAGAGAGAAGAGGAGAGATGTGGAGGCGGAGAAGGCCGTGTGGAGACGGAGGCAGAGATTGGAGTGACGTGGCCACCAGCCGAGGACACCTGGGGCCCCAGAGCTGAAAGAGACAAGGAAGGGCCCTCCCCTAGAGCCTCTGGAGGGAGTGCGGCCCTGCCCACTCCTTGGTTTTGGACTTTTGGCCTCGCGATTGTGAGAGAAGAAGCTTCCGCTGTTTTAAGTACCCTGGTTTGTGGTCCTTTGTTACAGCGGCCCCAGGACACTAATATAGTGACACTGTGGCTTGGTCCTTGAGAAGACCCTGGTCTGGGGTACACAAAGCCACACACTGACACTCCAGCCCTGTGTGGTTACGATGGGGCCAGAGGGAGGCTCCTCAGCCTGAGAGAACCTGAGGCGAGAATAGAGAAGCCGTAATGGAAGATGGGACATGAAAGCCGGGGTTTAAGAGATAAATAGGAGCTTGCCCTGGGGGCCGTTCTTTCCAAGCAAACATGTCCACGCTTCTCTGAACCCAACTCTGGCTGAAGCTGAGACATCATCACACAACCCCCTGTAATAATAATGGCTTTTGGTTCTAAATATTGAGGTTATAGCTCTCAATCAGCCTCATCTAGTCAGTGCTGCCGTGTGCGGGGGAGAACTGAGAAGCCGAGCTTTGGAGAGATCAGACGTGCTTCCCAGATCTGCTGGGCATCCCCAGGGCTGGGCCGGGACGGGGACCCAGGCCGGCTGCAGAACGGCTGGGTGACACAGGCCTGCGCCGGCCTTGAGGGACGTTCACATGATGGATCAGCTGTTCTCTGGCCTGTGAACTCAGGGGAGACTGAAAAATAATCTGCTTTTCCTCCTCTTCCGGATCCTCCTCCCATGACCTTGTTGGCCTCTTGTCACGAGAAACCAGCAATAAATGTGGGTGTGAAAACTTTCTAGCGTGCTGCGTGAATTTGGCAAGGGTATCTACAGCCCAGAGCAGGTGGTGAGGGAAAGCTCTGGGAGGTTTGGGGCCAAGCCAGGTGGAGGGGACAGCCTGACCCCTGGCCTCCGTGTTCTGTTTACCTCTGCCCTGGACCAGCCTCCAGGGACCGGTGGATGCTGCCAGCGAGGAATGCGGGTCCCAACCCGCTGAGCTCATTGCTGGCTGGCTGCCTGCTGCCCGCCCCACCGTGCCTCCCAGCACAGCCGCAGGACTGGCCATGAGGTCATCGCCTAAAGATATTTCAAAGGGGAGCCAGATTGGCCTGGCTGCCAGCATTCCAGAATTTGGTGAAGTGGAAACTGCCATGGAGCTAATGTTCCCCTTTCCTGTCCCCAGGGATCCCCCAGGCCCTCGTTAGTGTTGTGTCCCCTTGAGAAAATCCAGGATTAAACTGACCGAATTACTGGTCCTGCTCGTAAAGTGACAGGTGCCCATTCATGAGTCAGCAGCTCCATTCTTGGATGTGCACAGTGGAATACTATACAGCACAGACAAAGAGCAGACCACCTGGCAGATAACAAAGGACACAGTGACCCACGGACATGGTGTTTAGTGACAGACACTGGACAGAAAAGAGGGTGTGCTGGCTGGTTCTGTTTACATCAAGTTGGCAAACAGGCAAACTCATGCATGCTGATAGAGGGGGGCATGGCTGTTATCCAGGAGCAGGGAGAGTGATGGGGGCCCCAGGGTGCTCCTGGGGCTGGGAATGTTCTGGAACCTCATCTGGGAAGCAGTCCCACAGGCATACAATCTGTGAAATGTCATGGAACTGAACATCTAAGATTAGTGGAGTTTTTTTTACTTTATGTAAGTCGTATCTCAATAAAAGTTTAAAAATAAAAAGGTGGAGGCTGTGGAAAACATTCCAGTGACTCCTTGAAAAGCAAAACATGGGGCCGCCCGGTGGCATAGAGGTTAAGTCTGTGCACTCCACTTCCATGGCCAGGGGTTAACTGGTTCGAATCCTGGGCGCGAACCTACACACTGCTCCTCAAGCCACACTGAGGCAGCGTCCCACATACAAAGTAGAAGATTGGCACAGATGTGAGCTCAGGGGCAATCTTCCTCACCAAACAAACAAACAAACATAGAATGACCGTATGACCTGGTAATCCCACTCCTGGGTGTAGCCCCAGAAGAACTGAAGACAGGTCATCCAGTCCGTGTGCGCGCGTTCAAGCAGCACTGGTCACAATCGCCAGAAGGTGGAAACAACCCAGGTGTCCATCAGCCGATGAGAAGATGAACAAAACACGGTCCAGCCGCACAATGGACCAGTGCTCAGCTGTAGACAGGACTGAAGCCCTGACACACTACCTCACGGAGGGACCTCGAAAACCTCCTGCTGAGTGAGAGGAGCCAGACACAGAGGGCCACACAGTCTGCGATCCTACTTCTATGTGTGATATTGTGACTTGACAACGAGAAACATAGATTTGCTCCTCGACTGGCTTCTGGCCCCGAGCCCCCGGAAGCCTTGGAGTCCCCGTGATGAGTGTGGCAGGGCGTCTTTCTGCCGTGTTAGTAACAGGACTTCAGGGGCTGGTTGCCAGGGGAACCTGTGATGAGAGGGCTCCCACCCCCGACCTCTGAGGAGGGGCTGGAGATGGAGTTCCATTACCGATGGCCGGTGACTTACTCATGCCTGTGAAAAGAAGCCTCCAGAAAACCCCAAAAGGATGGGGTTCGCAGAGCCTCCGGGTTGGTGAGCAGCGGAGGTGCCCAGAGAGAGCACGGGCCTGGGCCTTCGCCCTTCCTCGCCCTCTGCACCCCTTCATCCGGCTGTGGATTCGTATCCTTTAATACCCTTTGTAATAAATCAGGAATCCAGGGAGTAAACGCGCCTCCTGAGTTCTGGGAGCCGCTCTTGCAAAGACACTGAACCCGAGATAGGGGTCGTGGGAGCCTCTCGTTTACAGCAGGTTGGTCAGAAGCACAGGTGACAACCTGGACTTGGTGGGGGGCAGTCTTGTGGGACTGAGCCCTCCCCTGTAGGATCGGATGCTCTCTCTGGGTAGACGGTGTCAGAATTGAGCTGGATTCTAGGACACCCAGCTGGTGTGGGAGAATTGTTGTCTGGGGAAAAACCCACACACCCGCATTGGAAATTGGGTGCAGGATATGTAACAGGAGACATCCAGAACAGACAAATCCACGGAGACAGAAGCAGGTCAGAGGTTGCCAGGGGCTGGTGTGCGGGGGTCGGGGGGGGGGGGGGGGGGACAGCGGCTGCTTATGGGGATGGGGTTTCCTTTTGGGGTGATGGAATGTTCTGGAACTACATAGAGGTGATGGTTGCACAACGCTGTGAATGTACTAAGTGCCACTGGACTGTTCACTTTAAATGGCGAGTTTTCTGCAGATTTTTGTGGACCCTCCGTGTCCGTCCGTGGCAGCCACCCAGGAGACGGAGGGTGGTGAGGGGACGTGACCCCCAGGCCTCCAGCCTCGACGACCCGGGGAACGCAGCGTTCCCACTGGACTCCAACGAAGCCTGCCAGCTGGCGCGAGCATAAACAAGGTCCGCCACGGGCTGTCCCCTATGACTCTGTCGCCTACTCGCCCCTCGGGCCAGTGGCCTCCTTATCTCTAGACAGGGACCCGGTCTGAATGGAGGGAGGCTGGCCCAGCCTCTGAGCAGCTGCAGTTGGGTGGGACAGGGTGGTGGTGGGCGCAGCCGTGTTACTGGGCACTTGAGTGCCCGGAGTGTCCGGGGGAGCCTCTGGACCCCGGTCGCCAGGCCACAACCCCCCCGCACAGAGGCTGAGCCTGACACTCGGGGGGAGGCGGGTCTCCCACAGCCAGTGGGTGTGTGCTGGGGGTAGGGGAGGCCAGGACTGTTCCTCCAGTGGGAGCCTTGCTTGTACCTCTTGCCCGCAGGTGCCCTGTCACACTTTACACCCCCCATGACCTCCCTTGCACAGCCACCCACCTCTCTGCTGCCAGGAACCTGGAAGCACGCACAGGGGTCAGTGCCCAGGGCAGGGAGTGCTGAGCAGTGGAGGAAGGTCTGGGTGCCCCGGGGGAAGGGTGTTCCTGGGGCACCTCCTGCCCCTCTACTATCTCGTGGCCGGACCTCACCTCAGCCCTCCCTGCCCTACACCTCAGCACCCCAATTCCCTGCCCAAGCCTTCAAGGAGTCCCCAGGCTGGGGCAGCTGGAGCCAAGCACAGGCACTCCCAGTGCTGTGGGGTCAGGCCAGGGCTGGAGGAGAGGATGGGGGTTGGGAACACCCAGCTGAGCCTGGAAACGTAATGTCAGAGAAGGCTTCCTGCAGGAGGGGCTTTTTGAGTAGGGTTTTGAAGAATGAATAGAAGTTTCCCATTTAAGGACGAGTAATTGCAAAAACACCCAGTTTATCACATAGCTACTATGTGCCTGGCCCTGTCCTTTACACCTCATTTGACCTTCTCTCCAGGGAAAGTGTTGGCCCTTGTTTTCCAGATGAAGAAACGGAGGTGTGATAGAGAGGAATGACTTGGCCAAGGATGCACTTTCTGGCCCTTCCTCCTCTGCTTCCTTTGCTTTTCAGCATCTGCAGCCTTTGATCCTAACCAGAGAGGGGACAGAGGGAATCCCATGGGGGAAGATGGCCACCTCATAAACTCTTGCTGTGGAATTTAGCACACAGTAATAAGTCTTTTTTTTGACAAAATCATTCTATTCTTCCTACCAGCCCGCCAAGCTGGGATGATGTCCCCATTTCAGGGAAGAGGATACTGAGGCTCAGAGAGGCTCCCTGGGGGGAGAGGTTTCCCCACCTTCCCCAGGAGCACCCCCTCCCTCAAATCCCTCCCCGGAAAAGCAGCCCAAGACCCTGCCCAGCTGTGGTCCCTGGAGTGTTTACTTTGCACCCACGGCGGGCGGGACCAGGCAGGCGGGGGCGGACAAAGTCCGGGGGGACTATAAAGGCCAGTCCAGCAGCAGCGTCGCGTCAGTCCCGGCTCAGAGCTGAAGTAGCACAGCCATGCGCCACTTTCCGATGCTGCTCCTGTCGTGGCTGCTCTTGTGGCTGCCTCCGGGAGGCGCCCTACCTCTCACCCAGGACCACTCCCCGGCCTTCCTGGGACCCTCAGGCGGGCACTCCAGTCTCGATGTCTCTAGATTCCGGGAGTTGCGGGAACGCTACGAGCACCTGCAGGCCAGGCTGCTGTTGAACCAGACCCAGGAAGACTGGAACGCCGACCCCATCCCGGTTGATCATGTCCGGATGCTCACCCCGAAGCGTGAGTGAAATCTTGGAGGACCTCCCCACCCCCCACAGCTCCCATCATCTAAGCAGTGGTTCTGAGTCATAGAGGCCCAGGCCTGCTGCTGAGCCTCAGTTTCCCCATCTGTGAGCCCAGGCAAGAACGTATCCCCTTGGGGCCGATGGGGGAGCTGGCGGCCCGTTTGCATGGGGACAAGGCGAGGCTTAGCCAACGTGATATGTTACAATGCGTCCTCGGATCGCAGATGGGGAAACTGAGCCCTAGAGAAAAGCCAGCGACTCTCTCGAAGGCTCACTGAGCCTGGAGAACCCAGAGACAAGGTCGGGCCCGGGGGCGGGGTCCCTGTCCTTGGATGTAGCTGGGTTGAGGTGGTGGCTTTGGGGGGATCCAGGAGGAAGGATGCAGGGCAGGGGAGAAGGGGCGGGGACGAGCGGTGCGTAGCGAGTGCAGAACCTGTCCGGGCTGGTCCCGAATCTGATGCAATCGCTGTAGAAAGCACTGCAAAAGTCGCACGTGACAGGTGCCTTCAGGGAGGAAGGGAGGGAGGATGTTCGCGCCCTCCAGGGAGGCTGGGGGGGCGGGAGGTGGGGACAGTGGAAGAAGAGCTGGGCTGCGCTGGGGGCTGGGAGGGGGTGGGGGGAGGGGGTGGGGGAAGGGGTGGTAGGTGGGGGGCGGTGTTCGGCTGGAAGGGAGCGCTCTTATCCCATCCCAGTCGCGCTTGTGCTGTGAGAATCCAGGTAGACCTCTCGCCCTCTCTGAGCCTAGCGACTGCGTTGAGGGTCCTCAAACCCCATTCCCCCCAGTATTCCCCACACTTGCACCAGCCTGTGGGTCTGAGAATCCTGGGGAGCCTGGTGCCCTTCATTACTCAGCTATGGAACCCGAGAAGTACAGACTTGCAGTCCTCAGGCCCAGGCACTTAGTAGGCCTTCAGTAAAATGTTTCTGACTGTCAGAAGGAGAAGGCGGAGCCAGCGTTTGAATCTCAGCCTCTAAACACGGGCTATACATTCCCTTCTCCCTACTAAGCGCCTACTGTGTGCCAAGCATGGTGGTGACAAGCGGACAGAAATCCCTTCTGAGAACCTGGTGGGGAGACGAATGATACACCGGCGCATAGAGGAGGGCGGTGCCTGCGTTAGGCAGGCCGGAGGGACAGCAGCCCCGGCTGAGGCTCAGGGGAAGAGTGTGCCCGGCAGAGGAGGCAGCTTGCGCAAAGGCCCTGGGGTGGGATCGAGCTTCGCGTGTGGGAGGAAATGGGCACCCCCGCCCTGGCACACAGTAGGCGCGTGGGTGACCGTGTTTCCCCTCTCTCTCCCACAGTGCGGCTTGGGCCCGATGGCCACCTGCGCCTGCACGCCCTCCGGGCCGACCTGACCGAGGGGCTCCCTGCCGGCTCCCGCCTGCGCCAGGCCCTGCTCCGGCTGTCCCCGCAGGCGCCAGGCTCGTGGGACCTGACGCGGCAGCTGCAGCGCCAGCTCCGCCTCGGCGGCCCCGCGGCTCCCGCGCTCAGCCTGCGCCTGCCGCGGCGGGGGGGCCCGTCGCCCGAGGCGCTGCGCGCCGCACAGCCCCGGCTCGAGCTGCGCTGGTGGCCCCCCGCTGCCAGGGGGCGCCGCGGCGCGCATGCGCACGCCCGGGACGCGTGCCCGCTCGGGGAGGGGCGCTGCTGCCGCTTGCTGAGCCTGCGCGCGTCGATCGAAGACCTAGGCTGGGCCGACTGGGTGGTGGCGCCGCGCGAGCTGGACGTGCGCATGTGCGTCGGCGCCTGCCCGGGCCGGTTCCGGTCGGCGAGCAGGCACGCGGAGGCACAGGCGCGGCTGCACGGCCTGAAGCCCGCCGCCGCGCCTGCGCCGTGCTGCGTGCCCGCCGGCTACGCGCCCGTGGTGCTGCTGCACCGGGCCGCCGACGGCCGCGTGGCGCTCACGCCCTTCGACGACCTCGTGGCCGCCGGCTGCCACTGCCAGTGAGCGGCTCGGCCTCCGCTCGCGGCGCGCGCGCCGCGGACGCACCTTAGGGGCCTTGCCTGTCGAACGGGCTCGCGGGACCCGGGTCCCCCTTCCTGACCTCCGCCGTCCACTCCCTCCTGCCCAAACGGTTGTATTTATGTTTGTATTTATTATTAATTTATTGGGGTGACCTGCCTGGGGACTGGAGGGCTGGCCTGGCAGGGTGCGTTTATTTAAAACTCAGTCAATAAAAATGGAGCTGTCGGACCTGACCCTTGTGGTGGCCGTGATGGAGCTGGTGACCTAGGGAAGGGCCCGCCCCTCCCTGGCCTGATGCCGCAGGGCACCTGGTACCGGGGCGAGGGCGGTGGGTCAGGGACCGGATGGCAGGGCGTTCTCGGGGACGCCGGGCGTTGGCTGGCCTTCGTGACTCCAGTGGTCTCAGGGGCAGCCCAGGACGTCCCTCGCTATCGCCATGCTTCGCTACTTCCCTGCTCCCGTTCATGATTCTGAGACCCTTCCGGCTCTCAGCAACCTTCCAGCCCTCCTCATCTCTCAGGACTCCTGTTTCTGTAATTATCTGGCCCTGACTCTCTAGCACGGTCCTGCTGCTGTCTCTCTCCACGCTGGAGTCACCTTTCCAAACACAGCAGCCCATCTGCTCACGCGCATCTGCAATCAAGTCACGGCCATCTGCAATCAAGCGCGCTGACTGTGATGGCGGCCCCTGATTAGAAGAGTCCCATCGCCCCTCCTGTTTGTGGCACCTCCCTCCATGTTAATGGTGTCTCTGTTCTTTCATATAAAAAGAGCAGGGAGAAATAAGCAAGTTGTGAAGAACATTTTCATGCACACTGCATCTCCCTGGTTGTAAATTCTTCCTACTCAGGATCTTGGAGTTGTTGAGATGTGCTGAGTCCAGGCCCCTCCTCACACCCACCCGCCCGTCCACCCTGAGAGTGTCTGAGAGGAACTGTTAGGAGAATCCACTTCCAGCAGTGAGTGAGGTGTGTCCCCTGTGAACACCACCACCCAGAGGCAGCCCTGAATGACTGTAGGTGCCCCCGAATGTATTCACTGAGTGCCCACTTTGTGCCAGGTGTGGCTGTACACTGAGAATACAGGAGTCATGAGACAGGCAGAAACCATCCCACTTGAGCATGGTCGAATGAGGGAGACAAATGAGCACAAAGACAAATCATTAAAAAAGCAGCAACTGTAGTACGAATTGTGCCCAGGAGTCATCCTGGCCAACGCACTCGTGAACGAGGCAGAGGGGATTCAGCTGATCGGGGAGGAGGCCTCCCTGAGGAGGTGACATCTGAACCGAGAAGTGCAGGAAGGATGGAACTTGAGGGGGAGAGCTGGGGGATGGGCATCTGAGGCAGAAAGAACAGCAGGTGCAAAGGCCCTGAGGTGGGAACAAGCCCAGTGTCTAGCAGCAAAACTGCTGAAAATGGGGCCAGAGAGGTGGGTGAGGGCCAAAACCCACCAAGTTTCATGGGTGGTGGGGAGGACGTGGGTCTGTTGGAAGAGCAATGGGTTGACGTGAAGGGTGTGGAAGCTGGGGAAGGGTGGGATCTGATTTATGCGGGGAGGACGACAGGTGGCTGGGGGCAGGACTCGGGGCTCAAGCAGTGTCTAGTGCAGGAGGGATGCAGAGGTGCAAGGAAGCAGAAGACTCTCATTGGTCCTCTCTCCCACCTCAGGTCACTCCCAAGTATTGGGGAGCCAATGGGGCCTCTGTCGGCTTGTCACCACCATGCCTGGCACACAGTAGGTGCTTAATAAATACTTTCAGAAGTAAAGGTATAGCCCATATTTAGAGACTGAGGCCAAGGAAGAGCCAGAAGGCCCGGAGTCACCTGGAAGGGGACAGGCTGGGATGGGAGCCGAGGGAGGCTCAGCGCCCAGCCATCACGTACTCCTCCGGGGCCCAGTCCAGCGACTGCAGGTTGCCGTAGATAGGCTGGGAGGCATGGTCAGGGCCCTTGTAGTTCATGTAGAAGTCACCGTCCTCGGAAGGCTGAGCCCTGTGGGGACAGACAGATGGGAGGGAGGTGGGACTCAGGGCAGGCGTGTCAGCTTTGAGAGGCAAAGAAGGTTCAGGGCGGCTGCAGCCACTACTAAGATTAACCCATGAGGGCACTGAGGCCCGGGGGGGCGTCCTCCCAGCCAGGCCAGCTTTCTCTGATGAAAGGAAGTAGGGCCAGTGACTCAGGGAAGATTTGTGGACTCAGCACTGCGGGGCTGCATCCGATGACCTTGAGTTCACCGTAGGATTGTTTCTTCCTTAAAGTTGAAACGGTTGCCCATTTTTCACATTAAAATCTACGCCTTAGTTTCCTCTTGAAAAATCAGAAGCTCTGGTCACAGCGGCCACATGGACACAAGTGACTGGAGTCAAACAGTGTCTGCCCCTTTAGATGGGAAATGTTTTTGCTAGGTCCCCTGAAACAACTGACTTTGTGGCCTCAATATAAAAATCAATCTCTGAGCCTCACTTTCTGCGTCCACGGAGTCGGTGGGGAGGAGGTAGCTTCCTAGGAATGTCTAGCTATGGTAGGCAAGACCCCCGGAGAAGAACATTCCCGCCTTCGGAGCAACCTAACCACTCCCCTGGTTCCTCTTGTAACAAAGACCATTTTGGATAAGGGGTGTCTATTAGTCATTCATACTTTAGTATGAATTACTCTGAACATATAAATGGTTGTATAGGGATGGGCAGGACTGAGAGTCAGTGTTTGTTTCCTGCCTCTACTTCTGACTCACTGGGTGACCTCGGGCAAGTCATCCCCTTTCCTCCCAGAGCCTCCATTTCTGCAACTATAAAATGTAGGATGGACTGACACATCAAATTCAAAAACATGTTTTTGGAGGAGATTGACCGTGAGGGCTTGGTGACAGCGAGCCAGAGGCGGGCATCCAAGCACACACTGCCTTAGTGAGGCTAGTGATTTCAACTCCCTCCCGCAGACCACTTCTGCTTTGGAGCCATATTTGCATCTGCTTTGTATGTTCTCCCATTTCTCACCAGCAGGCTCCCGGGACCTCCCCGCCTTGTGGACTCTGCTGCCTGACACCGCCATGGCCCTGCTCCCTTCCTACAGGGACGCTGCCGGCCCATCCAGCTTCAGCTCGTGTGTCTTGCCTTCTCACAATTCATTCACAGCAGATTCTCTGTCCTCTCCCGTCTCCGGGTCTTTGCCCTGCCGGTGCCGCCCCCTGAAATGCCCTCCCCTCCCTCGCCCGACTGGAAAAGCTGCGCGCATCTGTCTGAGTCCAGCCAGCCCTTCTCGGGGAGCGGGGCTCTGTGGAGGAAGAGGGACACAGGGCCTTCTTAGCATCTCCTATGTGACAAGGAGGTATGGGGGGGCTGTCCTCATTTTACAGAGACGGAAATGGAGGTTCAGAGACAGCCCTGAGTCACACGAGGTCTGCGCCCAGACCGCTGACCGCTACCACGAGCCCTCACTCTGCCTTGCACACCTGCCTCCTCTCTCCTCGTCCCTGGCTGCAGAAACTGGGTTTGCAGGTCATGAAAGGGGAAGCTTGTCCCATACACAGGAGCTCACTTAATTCTTATCCCCACTCCATGAGGCAGGGGCTGTTAGCCCATCTTACAGATGAAGAAACTGAGGCCCAGAGACGTCAGACTACTTGCCCTAAGATCACACACCCTGCAAGAGGCAGAGCTGAGGTATGAACCCTGACCGTTTGGCTGCAGAGTCTTGCCGGCAGATGTGTGTGGGTTACTCACCCGTGGTCGGCCCACTGGTGCCCTGCGGGCGGCTGGCCCACGAACATGTTCTCATAGTCAGGTGTGGAGGGCCTGCGCAGGGCGGCCCCCGAGGGCTCAGGGCTGAGGCCTCGGCTACTGTACCTCGGCTGCCGGCCGGAGCCGGGCCGGAGACCATCCTGAGCAGCCCACGTTTTGCTCAGACCCTGGCTACTGGATGCCCGGTGTCTCCGGAGTCTCCAGGCCAGCACTGAGCCAGCAACGGCGAGCCCAAGGAACAGGCCTGCACTGGCTGCCAGCACCCCCATGGTGGTCGGGGCCAGGCCAGGGGGGCAGCCGGCCTCCAGGAAGGCAGAGACGTTGTGCCAGGTGCCGGTGTCTGTGTGCAGGCACTGCAGAGGGGGCTGCTGGGAGCAGTTGTCTCGCCGGACCTCGTCCCAGGATGCTAGCACACAGAGACAGTCAGCCTTCAGGTCAATGTCACAGCGTTCGGCCAGTGCCCTGTCCACACGTTCTAGTGGGTTGCGGGTTACATCCAGGACCTTCAGCTTCTCCAGGCGGGTGAAGAACGGCAGCGGGAGCTCTCGAAGGCTGTTCCCAGACAGGTCGAGGATGGCCACACTGCTGGCCTGCAGAGACTGGTTCTGGGGCAGGTTCAGGCCTTGGCCACTGAAGTTCAGGCATGTGTCTGTGAACGCCTTGGTCCAGTCCACGCCGCCGGAGGACACGTTGCAGGACAGTCCCTGGCTGCCTGGATCCTGCAGCAGCAACAGCAGCAGCCACGCCAGGGCGCCCCCCATTCAGGCAACCTAGATAGAGATGGGGATCCGAGAACTGACCTCAGCCTGTGGTCCCCCTTGCCCTCACTGCCCTCTCCGCCTGCGTTTATTGTTCCTAATTCTGCATAGCTTGGAGCAGCTCCGGAAGCTTCTGATAAGGTCAGAGGCAACCCCACGCTGGTGGGCTCTGGCCCCCAGCCTCAGTCTCTCGGTCTGGGCAATGGGCACATAACGCCGACTGCCGGGCTTGGAAGGCGAGGAGGAGACGCGGCCGGGTCAGCCCTTCCCCTTCTCCCCAGGGGACGCTTCGGGCTCTCCCCGTTTCCCCCACGGCCCCCACCTCCCACCCCCTCCTTGGCCAAGACGGGGCCATATGCAAATGAGAGGTTTGCCCCGGAACGGCCCCGCGCCGCCCGCTCATTGCTTCCTGCAGGGCTGCGGGAGGCGGGAGGCCGGGCTGGCGGGGGCTGGGGTGCGGGCTGCGGGAGGGGGCCCCAGCTCGGCTTTGCGGCCCCCGCGCACACCCGAGGCCCAGCGCCTCCGTCCTGCGTTTCTGGCCCCAGCGCCACGCCCTCACCGCGGCGGTGCTGGAGGGCTGCCGCGCGGAGGGACTGCTGGGGGCTCACCTGGACGCGGGGGCCGGAGCGGCGGGCACCCTCCGCGGATCAGACCCGCTGTGCTCCCTGCCGTCCCTCAGGCTCTGCACCCAGCGACTCGGAGGGAAGAGGAACTGGTGTCCGGGCGGGGTGCAGAGGGGAAGAATGAAGAAGACAGAGACCCGCCCCCTTGCAAGACCTCAAGGCCCAGAATTCTCAGGGGAGGGGGAGGGGCGGCCCGCTTCCCTCTTGCTGGAACCCAATGACTCCATGTCCCCATTAATACCCCCAACTGACAGCTACCTCATCAACTAGCTTCCTGGTCCCAGCGCAGTTGACTCCCAACCCATGCATTCATTTATTCATTCAACAAACATCACCCATGCCGGGCCCCTAAGAGACCCCAGCCCTGCCAGGTTCTCCAGCAGCACCCACCCAGTATTGGGAGGAGACAGACCTGGACACAGACCTCTCCAGCCCCACGGTGTCAGGGCAGGCTACAGGGAGGGACAGGGTCCTGGAAGGCTTCCTGGCGGATGAGGCATTAGAATTGGGGCTTCAACATATGAGTAGGAGTTTGCCAAGGCTTCCTAAAACCTGCCTTTGACTCTCCGAGCTCCTAGCCTCTCCCACAGACTCAGGGCTCTCGCTCATGCACAATGATGCCTCCATGCTAAAGGAGGGTGGGCAGAGGGCTCCCTGGGGGAGGGGACGTTAAGTCTGGGGTTGGCAGGCAGAAACAAGTGCGTTACAGATTTCAGGCAGCAGGCGCAGCAGGGGCAAAGTCCTTGCATCTTGAGAAAGCATGGCCGGCTGGCGTCTGGGGGTGAGGAACGTAGGGAGGAGGCCCGAGTCCCAGAGGGGCACGGAGGCCTGAGTCAGACTCGAAGGATGGTGACACACGTGAGATTGAGGAGGGAGTGGGCAGGGGTGGGCTGGGAGAGGGTCTCAGCCTGGGCCTGGCAGCAGACAGACCAGGCTCAAATCCGTTTCAGCCCCTGACTCACCACTCTGTGCCTCAGTTTCCACATCTCTAAAATGTGGTAAACCCCGTGAGGCTTCTCCCGGACTCTGGGAGGCTGGAGTCCACCCCCTCACGCGTTCCCCTGTCCTCAGGCTCCGCCCCTTTCCGTCTCCAATCGCAGAGGAATGGCTCAAAAACCCAAAGGTTTTGAATGGGACTTTGCAGAAAGAGCTGCAAATGGTGTTTCAACACACCCACAGAGTCACTCCTACCAGGGAACTGCAAATCACGACTCGAGATATCGTCTGTTTTCACCTATCAGATTGGCAAAAATTCAAAAGTGTGATGACACCCCGTGCTGGCCCGGCTGTGGGGAAACAGGCAGCCCCGTGCGTCGCCGGGGGAGCATGCGTGGTGCAGCCTGCCGGAAGGCACCCTGGGTCTGGGATTGGGAACACGTGTGCCCACCGCCCCGCATCCCACTCCTGGGACTCCCTCGAAGACTTGCATGTTTGCAGAAAGACGTGGGGGCGAACTGATGAGCGGATAGAGAAAGTGCGGTCCATCCATACAGCAGAATATCGTTCAGCCTCATAAAGGACGGAAGCCCTGACCCGCGCTGCATCGTGGACAAAACCTCGCGCTGAGTGAGAGAAGCTGACACGAAAGGCCACGTAGTGCATGATCCCATTTACAGGAAACGTCCAGAACAGGCGAATCCACACAGACAGAAAGCAGACTGGTGGTTGCCAGGGGCTGGGGAGGGGCTGCTCATGGGGACGGGGTTTCCTTTTGGGGTATGGGAATGTTCTGGAACTAGATAGGGGTGATGGTTGCACAACACTGTGAATGTACTAAAAATCACTGAATTGTTCACTTTAAAATGGCTATAATGGTAAATTTTATGTTAAGTGCATTTTGCACAATAAAAAAAAAAGGCTAAAAGGAGACACGGGTATGAGATAATTCATTGTAGCATTGTTTGTTTGTTCGTTTGTTTGTGAGGAAGATTGGCCCTGAGCTAACATCCGTGCCCATCATCCTCTGTTTTATGTGGCATGCTGCCACAGCGTGAATTGACGAGCGGTGCTAGGTCCACACCCGGGATCCGAACCTGTGAACGCCAGGCCGCCGAAGTGGAGTGCACAAATTTAACCACTATGCCACTGGGCCAGGCCCTAGTGTAGCGTTTTTTGTTATATGAAAAAAAAAATTGGCAACGACCTCAGGGGCTGGCTAGATCAATAACAGTTCGTCCATCCTGGGGGTGCTGCAGAGTCATGAAAATGAAATTATAGACCTCTACAAACCAATAAGGAAAGACTCATTCATTTCCTCCACAAACCTTTATAAGCGCGTACTGTGTGCCAGGCCCTGGCCCAGGAGCTGTGGATACAGCTGTGAACAAAATAGACGAAAGTGCTTGCTCTGGCTGGTTCCGTGCAGCAGAGGCGACATGCGGGGTCCATCAGGAAAACCCATAGCAGGTGGTGGGGAGGATGCAGAGAAAAATAAAGGCGGGAAACGAGTAGGGAGGGCAGCAACTTTTTATTATTTATTTATTTATTTATTTTGAGGAAGGTTAGCCCTGAGCTAACATTCACCGCCAATCCTCCTCTTTTTTTTTTTTTTTTTTTTTTACTGAGGAAGACTGGCCCTGAGCTAACATCCGTGCCCATCTTCCTCTACTTTATATGTGGGACGCCTGCCACAGCATGGCTTGACAAGTGGTGCATAGGTCTGCACCCAGGATCCGATCCGGTGAACCCTGGGCCACCAAAGTGGAATGTGAGAATTTAACCACTGCACCTCTGGGCCAGCCCCAGCAACTTTTTAATGGAATGATCAATGGAGCCCCTTACTGAGAAGGATAAGAGGGCTTATTGAGTAAGGAGGTAGGGGAAGGGCATCCAGGGCTGGAACAGCCTGTGCAAAGGCCCTGAGGTGGGAGCCAGCCTGGGTGAGGGCAGATGTCTCCAAGAGAAAATGTTAAGTGAAAAAAGCAAAAAACTTTCTAGATTTTATATGCCTAAGGAAACTTTGGATGGAACAGAAAAAACAAATACCTGTGGTTACCTCTTAGTAGCAGGCAGATGGGAGGGAGAACTGCACCGTATATGTTTTAATATTTCTTATTTTAGGATCCTACTGCACTGTGTGAATGCAAATCCTATTCAACACATTCGACAGGCACACACAAGACACTCAGGCTCTCAGGACCAGAGGGACAGAGGGGCACCAGCTGGTTTCAGGCTTGGTGCGGGTTGACATCTCCCCCACCCCCCAGTGCTGGGGCCTCTTAGCCTGGGAGGAAATGAGGAAATGAGGAACCACTGACACCCTGGCTGTGGGGGGCGGTGGGGGGTGTGGCAAGGCAAGCTTGGGGGCTGGGATAGGAGCTCTGGAGGTGAGTCTGGGGAACCTGAGAGGCCTGCACTATGGAACATCGGGAGGACCTGGAGTTCAGGAGGCTCAGGGGGTCTGGAAGTTCCTGGCCTCTGGGGGCCTGGGGGCTGGAGCACGCTGGCAGTTTGATAGGCCTGGTCTGGGAGCCTGGGCTCTGTGCCTCCTGCTGCAGCCACAGCTGACCATGCCCTAGCCTGCAGGAAGGGGCGCAGCTCTGGGCTCTGTGGGCTCCCACACTGGCTGAGGGGATCCAGAAGCTTCTGGACAGCACATCTCTATACTCCCTCTCCTGCCCGCCTGACATACGCTGAGCAAGTCCTGGCCTGAGTACCAGGCAGGGCCAGCCTGTCCGCACAGAGACCTCCAGACCCTCAGAGACACCTGGAGACCTTCCGAAACCCCCAGAGATATCCGGAAAAACTTGGAGATCCCCGAGACCCCAGAGACCCTCACAGACACCAAGAGAACTTCAGAGACTCTCGGAGCCCCCCAAAGGCGAAGACAGATATGCAGGGCATTCTCTGGGACAACCCAGCCCCAGGGCCACCAATCTGTGACCCCTGGATCCAGCCACATTGGCCCAACACCATCTGATGCCTGGTACCCACCCTGTGCCGGGCCCTGAGCCCAGGAGCCCCTAGACCAGGGAGCTGGAGCAAGGTCAAGCGTCCGACGTCCCTGTCCCGGGGGCTCCCCAGCCACCTCTGACATCCCTGGCCCAGCCCCCTCCCGGCTTCCTGCCATCTCCATTCTCTTGAGACGGCCTTTGAGACCCAGCACTCTCCCTACCTGCTGCTCTGGGAGTCCCGTCTCCCCAGGGGAGGGCGAGGGCAGGAGGCCAGGCCGCCCAACCCAGCACAGAGGCCGTTTGCCGGGTCTGGGTATCTTGAGGCGTCTGCGGGGCTCTTGGAGCCGGTGCGTCAGGACTGGAGGCCGGTGTGACGGCAAAGGGCTAGGCCGGGGTAGGGAAGCTGACTTAGGGGCAAACCCAGAAAGTGGGCAGACATCGCGACCGCAGACCTCTGTGCATTAATTCAGCAAATCATGACTGAGGTCCGCTCAGCCACTCCACCGCTGTGGGACCCAGGGCCAGCAGCTTAACCTCTCTGTGTCGCACCTTCCTTCTTTGTAGAAGGAGGACAGTAAAAACCACCGTGTAGGGTGGCTGTGAAGGGCTGGGGAGACAGACGTGAACGTGAGGACGTGCCTGGCGGCTGGGGACACACGTGACCAATACATCGGCTGAGCGTCCTATGGGGGAGGGGGGAAATGGGCAAATGATGGTCCTTCGATGCACAAAAATCGAATTCAGAAGGTAAAGCTTGATTTTTAATGATGTGGAAAGACCTTATTTGAGGTCACGTGGCCACGTTGGTTATAGTAAAATTGGTGAAGCCACTGAATGCCTTTGGGAGGGGCGGGCGCACAAAACGTGTCGCTGAGACGTCTGCGGTCAGCAAGCTCCAGCGCCTTCCACCCGCCGGCTCGGCACACTTTGCTGAGAGCAGCTCTGGCCGCCCGAGGCCACGCCGCGGGCCCCGGCTCTCCGGCCTGCAGCCCTCGACCGCAGGCGGAAGGAGAGGCGATCGCGGCGCGTCCGCCCGCAGGGCCCTCGGGTCCCAGCGCAGAGCCTGCTCGCTGGCGCCCCCTGCAGGCTCCTTCTCTCTCCTCACCGACCGGGGCTCCTGGGGTGACCTCCCAAACAGCCATGCTCTTGAATTCGGTCGTAGGGTCTACTTCTTGGGAACCCCAAAGTAAGATAAGTGGAGCGATACAAAGGGATA